AGCCCTTTGACTTGTTCAAAAAACCCGATACTCAGAAGAAGTTTGTTGATAGAAGGACCTCCTCCCAAGTGCAAGGGATTGGTCTCTGTTGTTCAACCTATGCTAGAGTCTCAGACGGTTGGTAGAGTATATACCATGGACCGTCAGCAATCGGAGAAGGCTCCGAATCTAGTGAAAGGTACAATTTACATTGATAATATGGATGTTGAAGTGTTGTTTGATTCAGGAGCTACACACTCCTGTATGTCTGATTTTATGGCCGTTGGGCTAAATTTGCAAATGTATGACATTCGCCCTCCAATGAAAGTGGTTACTGCTACTGGAGAGGAGTGTTATACATCCGTGTTGTGTAAAGATGTTGAGTTCAAATATGAAGGCCGAGATTACGTGCTGGATTTTATTTGTTTACCTATGATCAGCCTTCAAGTTATCTTGGGTATGGACTGGTTGTCAAAGAACTGTGCTATGATAGACTGCTGCGGTAAAAGGATTGTGCTTGATGCTGATGATTCTGCTACTAGTTCTTCCCCATATCTATCTGTGTTGCAGGTTAGAAAGGCTTTGAGGGCCGGGGCATTGGGATATGTCTTTGTGGGGGGTTTAGTAGGCGGAAGTCATGAGGAGATTGGCACTATTTCCGTGGTGAGGGAGTTTGTGGATGTGTTTCCAGATGAAATTCCACAACTTCCGCCTCATAGAGAGATTGAGTTCACGATTGATCTGTTGCCTGGTGTGGGGCCTATCTCTCTGGCTCCGTATAGGATGTCACCACCGGAATTAGCCGAGTTAAAGAAACATATTGAAGAGCTTTCGGCTAAGCAGTTTATCCGGCCAAGTGTGTCCCCGTGGGGAGCACCAGTCATATTTGTTAAGAAGAAGGACGGTAGCATGAGATTGTGCACTGATTACCGTCAGTTGAATAAGGTTACCATTAAGAACAAGTATCCTCTCCCTCGCATAGATGATTTGCTTGATCAGTTGAGGGGTGCTTGTGTCTTCTCAAAGATTGATTTGAGGTCGGGTTATCATCAAATCCGAATTAGGCAGGAAGATATTCCGAAGACTGCCTTCCGATCTAGATATGGACATTATGAGTATCAAGTAATTCCATTTGGACTCACTAATGCTCCTGCGGTGTTTATGGATTACATGAATCGCATATTTAAGCCGTTTCTGGATCAATTCGTGATTGTGTTTATTGATGATATCCTGATATATTCCAAGAGTAAGGAAGAGCATGAAGGTCACTTGAGAACTGTGTTGCAAATTCTCAGAGAGAAACAGTTATATGCAAAGCCTTCTAAATGTGAATTTTGGCTTTCTCAAGTGCAATTTCTGGGTCACGTTATCTCTGCTGAGGGAGTAGCGGTTGATCCTAGCAAGATAGAGGCAGTTGTTGATTGGGAGAGACCCAAGACAGTAACAGAAATAAGAAGTTTTCTGGGTTTGGCTGGTTATTGCCGGAGATTCATTAAAGAATTTTCAGCCATGGTGTTGCCATTGACCCGTTTGACCCGGAAAGATACTCCATTTGTTTGGACACAAGAATGTGAAGAATGCTTTCAGAGCCTTAAGGAGAAACTAACGACCGCTCCGGTGTTAGTACTTCCCGACCCGGAGGGTGAATTTGAGCTATACAGCGATGCTTCCAAGAAGGGATTGGGATGTGTACTGATGCAAGATAGGCGAGTGGTAGCTTATGCATCGAGGCAATTGAAACCGCATGAAGAAAATTATCCAACCCATGACCTTGAGCTTGCTGCAATTGTTTTTGGGTTGAAACACTGGAGGCATTTCTTGTATGGAATGCAATTTGCAATATTCAGCGATCACAAGAGTTTGAAATACTTGTTTGATCAAAAGGAGCTGAATATGAGACAACGACGGTGGACCGAGTTCCTAAAAGACTATGATTTTGAATTGAAATATCATCCTGGCAAGGCTAATGTTGTAGCTGATGCACTGAGCCGTAAATCTGTGAGCATATCAAGCATGATGATTAGAGATTATGATGTGATAGAGAGGTTCAGAGATATTCAATTATCTAAAATCTTTCCATGTAAAATTTGTGGCTTTGAAATCACGAGCATTGAGAATGAACTGATGACCAGAATCAAAGAAGCCCAGCTGCAAAATGAAAGTGCTAGACGACTAAAAGGTCAGAGTGGTGTATCCTGCAATGATGAGGGTATACTATTATATCAGGGTCGTGTAGTTGTACCTAGGCAGTTGGCGGAAGAAGTGATGACAGAGGCTCATAAGGGTCATTTTACAGTTCATCCGGGAGCTACAAAGATGTATCAGGACCTAAAGATGAATTTCTGGTGGCCTGGTATGAAGAAAGATATTGCCGAATTTGTCTCTAAGTGTCTTATTTGTCAGAAGGTAAAGATTGAGCATCAAAAGCCTTCTGGTATGTTACAACCTCTAGATGTTCCTGAATGGAAATGGGAGAGTATCTCCATGGATTTCGTAGTGGGATTGCCGCGAACACAGGCTAGTTATGATTCTATATGGGTGATTGTGGACAGATTGACAAAATCCGCACACTTTTTGCCAGTTCGGGTAGATTTCTCTGCGGAGAGATTGGCTAGGCTCTATGTGAAGGAGATTGTGAGGCTTCATGGGGTGCCTGAGAGCATTGTTAGTGATCGGGACCCGAAGTTCACTTCTCGCTTCTGGGGAGCATTGCAGGAGGCTCTTGGCACTCAGTTGAGACTGAGCACTGCTTATCACCCACAGACGGATGGTCAGACTGAGAGGACCATTCAGACGTTGGAGGATATGCTGAGGGCTTGCACCCTGGAGCAGGGTACTGCATGGGATCGATATCTCCCACTGGTTGAGTTTTCATATAATAATAGTTTCCATGCTAGTCTGGGTATGGCTCCCTACGAGGCCTTGTATGGTCGCAGGTGTAGGACACCTACTTGTTGGTCAGAGGTTGGAGACACAGAGCGGTTTGGATTGGATTTTGTTCAGGAGACTACTGAGCAGATCAAAATGATTAGGGATCGTCTGAAAAAGGCTCAGGACCGTCAGAAAAGTTACTATGATCTCAAGCATCGACCTCTAGAGTTTGAGGAGGGAGATCATGTGTTCCTGAAGCTGTCACCGGTTACGGGTGTGGGACGAGCCCTTGGAGTGAGGAAGCTGAGTCCGAGATTTATTGGACCCTACCAGATTCTTCGTAGGGTGGGACCGGTTGCCTACCAGCTTGCCTTACCTCCGCAATTGGCAAATTTGCATGATGTGTTTCATGTTTCTCAGCTGAGGAAATATGTAGCTGATCCTTCTCATGTGGTTCAACCTGATAATGTTGAAATCCGGGAGAATTTGAAGACTCCTATTGGACCACTGAAGATACTTGAAAGAGATGAGAAGAAGCTGAGAAATAAATCTATTCCTATGGTGAAAGTCCAATGGGAAGGAAGGACGCCTGAAGAGTAATTAATTAAACATGTTTTACTGGGTGAAATTAAGTATGAGGCTTAATAAAATGAATCTGAGTCACTTTGGAGTTAAAAAGTGTACTCAGTGAAAATTAAGGGGTATAAATGGGTACTGTCAAAAGTACCCAAAATATAAAAATAAAAATAGTAATATTCCTAGATTAATATTCCAGACTTTTGGGTAAAGTTTGGTAATTATTGGAGTTGAATAGATAGACGAACCAATACCCGCTTAAAGTCACTTAACCTATGTTAAGTGACTAAAAGCCAAATGAGCCCCATTTCCCACCCCCATTTCGTCGAGAAACAGAAAAGAAGGAGAAGAGAAGAGAGGGAGAAGAGAGGGAAGAAGAAAAGGGAAAGAGAGAGAGAGAGAGATCAAACCTTGATGGTTTTGGATGATTCAAAAGCCTAAATCGCTTAGAATCTCGCCCTCTTTCATAATCCTAGCTTTGTTTTGAGTGGGGAGCATTGTGGAGAGAGATATTACCCCTCAAAAATTCGACCATTTGAGTGATTTTGGGGTTTTGGGAAGTTCAACCTCCATGGGAGCTTGAGGAACACTCCTTGCTTGGTTGTGTGACCATTGGTGGTAAGATTCTAACCCTTGAACCTCATGATTCCTTGAAATTTGCATGAGTTAGGGTTTGTGAATAGTAAATTGGGATTTTTATGAAATGTAGTTGAATTAGCTATGTTCTAGGAAGAATGGAGTTTAGAGCATGTTGGGAAAAATGCTAGGAACGACATTTAATCGGTGGAAATGAGCCTAGATAGTCATTTGATAATTGTTCATAATATTGGAAAATTCATGCTTGGATTGGTTAGTATTCTAGCATGTTGAACAATTAGTAAGTTGAATGATTGATTGAATCCTTATGATGTCTAGGATTGAGACATTTGGACCAACCGTGAGTGATCAACCATTGGAGCAAGCTATGGAGCTTGAATAGCTCATTGGAATTGGTAAGCTCATACTTGAGTTGTGTTTTGAATTGATGGTTGATTGTGAAATACTCTTGGATGCAATGTGTTGATTGCATTACACCATGTGTAGGTGTTGGTTTTGGAGTAGAGTATTGTTGACATTGGTGAAGAACAAAGGTTGACTGAAGCATTGAGGTAAGCCTTCGGACCTTGGGTGTAATTCCCTTGACTGTTCTACCAAGCCCTGAAAGGGTGGAGGTTGTGATTGTGTATATAAATGCAATAAAATAGTGTAATGCTTTGTTATACGTATGTGTATGCATTTGGTGTGGCATAGGATGGTGTTTCCCTATGTTGGTATGTGGCATGACGATGCGTAAATCATACTTGGTAGTTAGCTGGCCAGTAGGACTATTTGCATCTGAGTTTCCTTAGGACAGCTTGAGAGCTCGAGGGATTTCTCCTGGAGATGTATTGCACTTTGCATAGATATGTATTTACTGCATTATTATTGTTATTGCTATTACACTGATATGGAACTGTGGGGTGGAGAGATGCTCCAAGGACCCCTGGTTTACTGGATATATTCGTATATCTCACCCCGTGTTGTGGGGACCCCCTTTCAGGTAAGGATGCTGCAGGAGCCTCTGGTGGCAAGTGGCCATATCTGGATTATGCATGAGATGTAGCATTCCTTTTGAGTTTATGCATGCCTTTTGTAGTTGACATGTATAGGAGTTTATTTTTAAAGCCCTTGGTCATTTGTATGTCTTGATTCATTGGATGAACTTAGCCTATGCTCATGCCTTTGGTTACACCTTTGTTGATGGGAGCCAAGGGAATGATCATAGTGTTTTGAAAGCTAAGTTCTATGATTTGTAAAGGATATTTAATGTAAATGATGTCTACTTGGAATTCAATATATGCATGCTTGTTATGTATTGAGTTGTTGAATTGGTTGGGCTGAAAATCAATTAGGTACCCCCTTTGTTTAAACTGGTAAACGATGAGAAAACAAAGGTCATGCTGCCCAAATTCTAGCTAAATCTCATGAGGAGAGGTCGGATGAGTGCTAGGATTTAGTTTTGGGGCATGGACATTTGGGGTTTGTAATGGGGATGCATTTTCCCCTAGGCTTGGACTTGAGAAATGTGGGAATTGGAATCCCCTGGCAGCGCGCTTAAGCGCCCAGGAGCGCGCCCAAGCGCCCTGCTGCCCCTGCGAGTGCCAATGCATTCTGCCTCCTCGCGCTGGAGCGCCCAAGTGGGGGCTTAAGCGCCCAGGATTGCGCGCTGGAGCGCCCTGGCGTGCGCTTAAGCGCCCGTTGCTGCAGAAAGTTGGGTGGCTTACTGCCCCCTCGTGTTTTAGCGCCCAGGGTGGGGCTTAAGCGCCCAGGGTTGCGCGCTTGAGCGCCCTGGTCCGCGCTTAAGCGCCCTTCGCCACTGAAGGAGGAGATGCTTCTGTCTCTGCGCGCTAAAACGTCCCCGTGGGAGCTTGAGCGCCCAGGCTAGCGCGCCTGAGCGCCCTGTTGCGCGCTTAAGCGCCCACCCACACTGGAAATGCTGATGCTTACTGCCTCCGTGCGCTTAAGCGCCCAGATGGAGGCTTTAGCGCCCGATAGCGCGCGCTTGAGCGCCCGGTAGCGCGCTGAAGCGCGCTGGGCCTGTGACCAACACTCTCTTGTGTTGCTTCAAATGGTCCTAACTTGGGCTACAGTGCTCCGATTTGAGCACGGTTTGAAGCCACGGGTAGCTAATGAAGAAACCTACAATATAGTAGAAGTATTGAACTAAACAAGAAGTAAATTAATGGTTTAAAAATGGGAAATGAACATGATGTTAAGCTTAATTTATCTGTTTCCGCAAGGTAATATGGTTATGATCACGAAATTGGGTATTATAAGTTCGGTACGTTTTAAAATGAAAAATTTATCCGGATCTTAATGGAACCCATGTGATTGTAACTGCGCTTAATATCATAATGCGATGTTAACAAACCGGTTCTAGAACGGGGTGTTACACTCCCCCTCAACCGAGTACCCGAAGCGCAAAGTACTCGACCCGCCTCCTAGCCAATCACTAGGCTAGCTCGAGCCCAATCCGGCTCTGATACCACTGTTGGGAAATTCGTTCCCTCAAACTCCAATGTCAAGCGAGTCCAGGGGAAGCCCGTGGCGGGGAACCACCACCAATGAGCTAAGGCTACACCAACCGTAGCAAGTGGATCTGACACCATGTCTCAACCCAAAACCTTAAGGCATTGGGTTCATGGGTCCTTTCACTTATATACTCTTCACTTAGCTAATTACCAACCAATGTGGGACTCATCACACTTGAATATCTCAACACAAACACGGCTTGCCTCTGAGTTTGAAGTCAAAGACCTTGGGAAACTGAGATATTTCCTAGGGATAGAAGTAGCTCATTCAAGGAAAGGAATTTTTATCAGTCAAAGGACATATGTTCTTGATCTTCTCAAAGAAGCAGGAAAGCTCGAGTGTAAACCCTCTAATACTCCTATTGAGCAGAACCACAAGATAGGCTATGAAGAAGAGAGTCCTCTAGTTGATAAAGGACAATATCAACGGCTAGTTGGGAAATTGATATATCTGGCTCGTACTAGACCAGACCTAGCTTATGTTGTTAGTGTTGTCAGTCAGTTTATGTACGATCCAAAGGAGAAACACATGCAGGCAGTAGAGAGAATTCTTCAGTATCTTAAAGCTACTCCTGGTAAAGGCTTGTTATTCCGACGTGATGGCAATCTCTCTTTAGAAGTTTACACTGATGCTGATTATGCTGGATCCGTGACTGACCGTCGATCTACCACTGGTTATTGCATGTTTCTCTGTGGTAACTTAGTGACATGGAGAAGTAAGAAACAAGATGTGGTCGCCAGATCAAGTGCAGAAGCTGAATTTCGAGCTATGGCTCAAGGCATTTGTGTGTACTTGATGATCTCAAAATAAAATATGAGGGACCTATAAATCTGCTATGTGATAATAAGTCCGCTATTTGTATAGCTCATAATCCAGTTCAACATGATCAGACTAAATATATTGATGTTGACCGTCATTTCATCAAAGAGAAACTTGATAGTGAGCTGATTACCACTCCATACATTCCCACTGGGCGTCAATTGGCTGCTCTACTAACAAAGGGACTTCCTTCAAACAGATTTCAAGAACTTACTAGCAAGCTGAGAATAATAAATATCTATTCCTCAGCTTGAGGGGGAGTGTTGTAAATATTGGTTATTTAATTATTATTATTTGTTGTATTGGGCCAAGCCCATTAGGTCAAGTATTAGGATTTTTCATTTTCTATAAATAGAGACCTCTTTGTACAGATTATTTACACAATTCAATAATATTTCAAATATCCTTTTGTTTCAAGTTACTTCCATATACTTCTTAGAAATATATTGCAACTTATTTTCATTTCTATGTTCTATAGTTTCTCAAAGAAACAGAGGATCAAGCCATTCAAAAGGATTCTACATCCGATAAAACTGTAACAACAACTCTGTCCACTGATTCTGAAACAAGGAACACATCACTAGGACCATTACTTGCTCCTCTAGAGAAGGCATTGCCTTGTTATGCTTATTATCTTTTTCAATGGAAGTATGCTCCACACTTAAATATAAATTTTGATTTTCTGCAGTGTATTAAGAAAACTGTTGAAGAAGGAACTACATCAGTGAATGTCAAGACAATAACATCGTCAACTCATTCAAAATCAGTTAGTAAATGTTAAGGCTTAAACAATAATTCTTTTCTTCTTGTCCTTCCTTCGGGGATGATAATATCGTTTGTTTATTTGAATGTGTAGGAAGATGATAATGGCCAAATAGCCACACCTTCTTTTTCAGGTGTCACTGCAGAGCCTCCTACCACCAAAGATGTTGATGTCAGAGACTCCCAGGAAACTTCTGAGTTAGAGATTGCCCTTACTAAGACTCATGCTCTTGGTAAAAACTCTCGCATCTTCTTTTTTCCTTTTGTTAAGTCGTCGCACTTTTGATTTTGAACTCTTTTCTGTCCCGTATTTTGTTTAGTTTCTTTAAATGATGATGCTTCAATGAAAGTAGGCTCAATTATTGAGGAACATATTTCTAATCCTGATGAAGTTGGAGTTTCAGAATCTAAGCACTCTCCTAGCTTCTTTTCTATTGAATCCCAATCTCCTTCAGTGCCATTTAAAGGTTATTTTCTCCCATTCTATTTACTTTCTATTTATTCGTGCACAAGATGTTTAAATTACTCTTTCCTTCAATTACAGGGAACTCTTCTCAAATCAAGGAGGATTTAAATTTTGCTTCTCTTGTCACATGGGAACTTGAACAACTAGTCTCCAACAAGCATTTGGATCATGACAACCTGTCACTGTTGACTGATTTTCTTGTGAAGCATCCTTCTGTTCGTTTAAATGACAAAGCACTTAGCAATTGGTTGAAGGGTTGTGCCTACAACCGCCTGAGTCATCTACTGAGATTCCTCCAAACCCATAGTCCTAATGATGTGTTAGGGTCAAACCGCTCTGAGTTCATGGAGTTATTACAAGACGTGCGCAGATTTGGTTTTGATAAGGATTGGTTGAATGGTGTTGAAAGACGTGCCTTGTTTCCTGGTTTACAAATCTCACAAGATGCACTGCAAAAAGTATTGGACTCAAAACGCAATTTAATTCAACATGTGGAGGATCTCAAGCTTCAATTAGCATCTTTTGACTCTGTTTTGGAGAGTATCATTCAACAAGAGGCACAAGTTTTAGAAGCTGGGGCTGATTTGAGTTTCCCTATTGGATATTAGACTTTGTTTTTTCTTATGTTTCTTCATTGTTACCTTTTCTATTAGAACTTTGTTCTCTAAATATTTCTTTGGGCTCCGTTTTTAAGGTGAACTGAACTGAAATTGGGTAGTGATAATGTCTTGTTAGATGATGGATAATATGTTGTTATATATCAAATTTACTGATGACAGAGCTTTAAAATGTTCTTCAGCCGTAATACTAATTTGCATGGAAAGGGTATTTGCATTTCTTTCGTTTGGCTTCTATTTCTGTTTTAATGAAACTTCCTGTAAAATATACTATAAGCTATAGAATATCATCTTATAACCACACATATAACAACACAAGGAAAATTGCGCGTACACTTGCATGATTTTGAACGAGGATTGATGAACAGTTGTAGTATTGAAGAGAGATCCTCATCTGTTTTATTCTGTTACTTTTTTTTTGGCTCATGTCCCTTTACTGCATTGTAATCATCTGGCTGATAGAATAGAAGTGGAGGCAGTAGCATTGGATGAAGAAGCAGTTGAGGTAGATTTGTCTTCCCTAGACTTTAGATTCGTTTCAACAAACACAGGCATAGTTGGTTGAAGATGCCCTATCAAGCTCTTGCTTTTGAGTAGAACTACTACTTCAGACATTGTTGGCCTTGTTGCTGCTGATGCCTGAGTGCACAGCAATGCAATCTCTATGACTTTCTTCACATCTTCTGCATCATAGTCATTAGGGTCTAAGGCCTTGTCCACCAAATCCAAGTGCATTCCTCTCTCATACAGTTTCCATGTCTGTTAAGTGAAGATCAAAGGTCAAATGGTAAAATATAATGAGAAAACACACAATACCTAGTCATGAGAAATTGCTTACTCTTTGAAGAAGGTATTCATGACCATCATCATCAACCTTCACTTCAGTACTCTTTTGACCACTTATGATTTCTAGGACTACAATACCATAGCTGTAGGTATCAGCCTTTTCTGATAATTGACCATGGATTGCATACTCAGGTGCTGTGTATCCCCTGACAAGTGCATATGTATTCCATAGTTAATAAAAGAAAACCTATACATAGCATGGGAAGAACTTCTCAATTTGTCTCTTTTATTACATCTAATGCATTTCGTCAACAAATTTAAATGAGTGCATTTGTTTTTTCTTACAATGTTCCTGCAAATCTTGTGCTAAGATGAGAACGATCCCCTGGTAGAAGCCGTGCCAAACCAAAATCAGCTATTTTGGGTTGAAGATCATCATCCAAGAGGATATTGCCAGTCTTTATATCTCTATGTATGATAGAAACATGGAATTCCTCATGTAGATAGGCAAGTCCCCTTGCTGTGCCTAAAATAATATCAAAGCGTTGTTTCCAATTGAGGGAGCCTTTTTGGTTACCTGTTTCCCAAGTGTATATACTTAAGATTGGTGAAAACAAGAGGAAAAAAAAGAGAATAAAGATTCTAAAGAATGATTTTATTGGAGGTTAACATGAGTTACCAAATAAGAATCTGTCAAGGCTGCTATTTGCCATGTATTCATAAACAAGGATTCTCTCTTGGCCTTTAATGCAACAACCAAGGAGTCTAACAAGATTTCTGTGATGAACATTACTTATAAGCTTTACTTCACTTTCAAAATCATCCTCCATCTTGCTGGATTTTCCCAAAAGTAATTTCTTGACTGCAACAACTTTTCCATTTTTTAGAGTACCCTGTTCAATAGGATGATGATTGAAATTTTTTTAGTATGAGAGTGATTTTTCTTTGTTTTTGTAGCTGTAGCATATGACTATATCTTTCTTATCTCTAGGAGACAACAAAAAACCTCACAGAATCATTATTGGTTTTGAACATTGCTCTCCATTGAGATATTGAAGAAAAACATAAGTTTACCTTGTATACATCCCCAAAGCCTCCTTCTCCTAGTTTATTTTCATCACTGAAATTTTTTGTTGCAGCTTTCAAATCGTTATACTTGTAGTTAACTGGACCTTTCAACTCGGTTGCTCCCAATATGTCACCTGCTAAGGAACACATGAGTTTGAATTTCCTAATAAATCAAGTAAAAGACAGGGATATGATGTGACTTTGGATTAGCTTACTTTGTGTTCAAAATAGTTTATCATTATTAAAAACTTATGGAGAGAGTTTTAGAAAGAGAAAAAAAAAAAAAAATTGTTCTTCACAAAATGATCAAAACCAAACATGAAGAAAACAAAAAATAAAAATAAATAAAGAAATGATAATTTACTTACCTCTAGGAAGCCTCTTGGGTTTTTTGGATCGTTGCCATGCAAATAATGCAATAAGAAGGATCACAACTAGACCTGCCCCTCCAATAACACCACCTATAATGGCCCATTTCTTGCTTGAACCTCCTACAATACATGAAAGAAGTTGACATTAGTTACACATTGATTCATACAAAATCATTAATGAAGAGGAATTTTTCTAGAGGAAGGTTATATTTACCAACTTTTTGTTTACAAATTCTTTCAAACTACACTATGTTTTACAAGTAAGATACTCTTGAGAGAAGTCTTACCGGTAAGACATAGTGTAGTTTGTAAATTTGTATAAAAAAAAGTTTGTCAATATAACCCTCCTCATTTTTTTAATCATACCTTGTTTTAAATAGGGTGTGATATCAATGGTTTGGTTATCAGCAAAGAAGGGTGTCTCTGAGTATCTCATAAAACAGCCAGCATCATATGCTCTTCCATCACTATTGGGAAGACAAGTTTGCAAGTTGTTGTATCCAACTTTCATGCAATCCAAACAACTAGTTTCTGTGGCAGTTTCAACACATTGTGCAATGGCATAAATTGAACCACCTGCAGACACTTGCGTCTTAGTAGCTGCAAAAAAGCCTTTAATTCTTGGTGTTGCTATTTGGAGATCCATTAGCACTTGTTGTCCAGCTGCTCTAAAAGCAGGTGCTTCCTTTGCAGTGTTGTTCCCACATAATACACCATTCCCAGGTTCAGTGGTCTGATCATAGAACCTCTCGCTCTCATACCTCATCGCATAGAATCAAACATCAAAGTCAAATAAAAATTGACTAAAGCTTAATAGTAGCTTGAGATAGAAATATCATGAAAGAGCAAGCAAGCAATAGTTTACGTTAATTTTTGAGTATTATAAAGCTGTCACCTACATGGATATTGTTGCGATAAATTTAAATGTCCGTTTTTTATTTAATGGGTTTAGAAGTTTTGTTTTTTTAGGAATGAATGATGGTTAAGAGTTAGCCGTTTTTTAGAATATTAATGAGTCAGTTATGTCAGTTATAAAGTAATGAGGATGTTATGCATAGAGTTATGTTGGTCAGTTTTATAGCTTATAAATAGCCTTTGATAGTTTGTATGAAATGAAGATCAAGAAAAAAAAAAAGAGAAAAAGAGAAGAGCAAGAAAGCAAGAATAGAAAAGAAAAGTTTTTTTGTAGATACACACAAGTGTGGTTGTCTCTTGCATCTGTGTGGATATTCAATTCTAACAGATATGACTATATGTGCCAAACTATATAATAATGATGAAATTAATGAGATTTCAAATATGATTAATTCCTTTTATTAATTAAAATCATGCTTATTGCACCTTCACCTCGAGTTTCTTTGAGTCCGTTTGCTTGGGCTTATCAAAAAAGTAACTTTTATTTCTTCTTATAATAGTCTAACTTAATTAATTAGTAAATCTAGTGTAATTAATTAATTAAGCATGTTTTACTGGGTAAAATTAAGTATAATGCTTAATTAAATGAATCTGAGTCACTTTGGAGTTAAAAAGTGTACTCAGTGAAAATTAAGAGGTATAAATGGGTACTGGTGAAAGTGCCCAAAATATAAAAATAAAAGTAGTAATATTCCTAGAATAATATTCCAGACTTTTGGGTAAAGTTTGGTAATTATTGGAGTTGAATAGATAGACGAACCAATACCCGCTTAAAGCCACTTAATCTATGTTAAGTGACTAAAAGCCAAAATGAGCCCCAAACCCCCCCCCCCACTTTCCCGTCGACAGAAACAGAGAAGAAAGGAAGAAGAAGGAGAAGGAGAAGAAAGGGAGAGAGAAGAAGAGAGAGGAGGGAGGAAACCTTGATGGTTTTGAGTGATTCAAAAGCCTAAATCGCTTAGAATCTCGCCCTCTTTCATAATCCTAGCTTAGTTCTTAGTGAGGAGCTTCGTGGAGAGAGATTTTGGCTCTCAAAAATTCGGCCCTTTGGTGAAAATTGGGGTTTTGAGTGCTTCAACCTCCATGGGAGCTTGAGGAACACTCCTTGCTTGGTTGTGTGACCATTGGTGGTAAGATTCTAACCCTTGAACCTCATGATTCCTTGAAAATTGCATGAGTTAGGGTTTATGAATAGTGTTTTAGGGATTTTGATGAAATGTTGTTAAATTAGCTATGTTCTAGGAAGAATGGAGCTTAGAGCATGTTGTGAAAAATGCTAGGAGCGACATTTAATCGGTGATAATGAGCTTAGATAGCTAAATGCTTATATTTGGAAAATTGCAAGAATATGACACTTGGTTATGAGTTTTCTTGCATTGTTGAACCATTGTTTGGTTGGTCATTGATTGTATCCTTGTGTTGTCTAGGATTGAGGCAATTGGATCAACCTTAATTGACCAACCTTTGGAGCAAGCAATGGAGATGGATTAGTCCTTGGAATAGGTAAGCTCTTGCTAAGTTGGGATGTAGAGTTGTTGTGGTATTAATGAGTATATATGAATATTCATTGTATAGTATGATTGATGTTATGGCACCTTGGTATAGGTGTGTTACTTGTAAGTTATTGTTGAAACCAAAGTTGATTGGTTACTGGACCGTTGGTGGTGAACAAAGGTTGAACGGAAGCTTTGAGGTAAGCCTTCGGACCTTGGGTGTAATTCCCTTGATTGTTCCACCAAGCCCTGAAAGGGTAGTGGTGATTATAGTGTATATAAATGCAATAAAATAGTGTAATGCTTTGTTATACGTATGTGTATGCATTTGGTGTGGCATAGGATGGTGTTTCCCTATGTTGGTATGTGGCATGACGATGCGTAAATCATACTTGGTAGTTAGCTGGCCAGTAGGACTATTTGCATCTGAGTTTCCTTAGGACAGCTTGAGAGCTCGAGGGACTTCTCCTGGAGATGTATTGCACTTTGCATAGATATGTATTTACTGCATTATTATTGTTATTGCTATTACACTGATATGGAACTGTGGGGTGGAGAGATGCTCCAAGGACCCCTGGTTTACTGGATATATTCGTATATCTCACCCCGTGTTGTGGGGACCCCCTTTCAGGTAAGGATGCTGCATGAGCCTCTGGTGGCAAGTGGCCATATCTGGATTATGCATGAAATGTGGCATTTCTTTTGAGATTATACATGTTGTTTTGTAGCTCACATGTATAGAATTGTAATGAATAGGCAATGCTAGATTTATTATTTGTATATTGGAATGAACTTAGCCTATGCTCATGCCTTTGGTCATCTCTTTTGTTGATGGGAGCCAAGGGAATGATCATAGTGTTTTGTAAGCTAAGTTCCACGAGTTGTAAAGGATATGTAATGTAAATGATGCCTACTTGAAATTCAATATATGCATGCTTGTTATGTATTGAGTTATTGAATTGGTTGGGCTGAGAATCAATTAGGTACCTTTTGTTTAAATTGGGAAACGATGAGAAAACAAAGGTTATGCTGCCCAAATTCTAGCTAGACCTCATGAGGAGAGGTCGGATGAGTGCTAGGATTTAGTTTTGGGGCATGGACAATTGGAGTTTGGAATGGGGATGCATTTTCCCTTAGACTTGGACTTGAAGAAAGTGGGAATTGGAATTCCCTGGCAGCGCGCTTAAGCGCCCAGGAGCGCGCTCAAGCGCCCTGCTGCCCCTGTGAGTGCCAATGCATTCGGCCTCCTCGCGCTGGAGCGCCCAGGATTGCACGCTGGAGCGCCCTCGGCTGCGCTTAAGCGCCCTTCGCTGCGGAAAGATGGGATGCTTACTGTCCCCTCGAGTTTTAGCGCCCAGAGTGGGGCTTAAGCGCCCAGGGTTGCGCGCTTGGGCGCCCTGGTCCGCGCTTAAGCGCCCTTAGCCACTGAAGGAGGAGATGCTTCTGTCTCTGCGCGCTAAAACGTCCCAATGGGAGCTTAAGCGCCCAGGATAGCGCGCTTGAGCGCCCTGATGCGCGCTTAAGCGCCCATTCACACTGAAATACCTGATGCTTCCTGCCTCCGTGCGCTTAAGCGCCCAGGTGGAGGCTTTAGCGCTCGATAACGCGCGCTTGAGCGCCCGGTAGCGCGCTGAAGCGCGTGGGGCCTGTGACCAACACTCTCTTGTGTTGCTTCAAATTGTCCTAACTTGAGCTACAGTGCTCCGATTTGAGCGCGGTTTGAAGCCACGGGTAGCTAATGAAGAGATCTACAATATAGTAGAAGTTGTGAAATAAATAGGAAGTAAATTAATGGTTTAAAAATGGAATAAGACCATGATGTTAAGCTTAATTTATCTGATTCCGCAAGGTAATACGGTTATGATCACGAAATTGGGTATTATAAATTCGGTATGTTTTAAAATGAAAAGTTTATCCGGATTTTAATTGAACCTATGTGATTGTAACTGCGCTTAATATCATAATGCGATGTTAACAAACCGGTTCTAGAACGGGGTGTTACACTTCTTTATTTTAGAAGTGTTTTTTATAAAAGTTAAAGCTATTTATATTTTTATAAAAATATTTGGCTTTTGACTTTTGCTTTTCTTAGAAGTTAAAATTTTGAGCTTATGCAGAAAGAAAATTTTTGGCTTTTTTTGTGACTTCTGCTTTTTTTAAAAGCAGACATCCAAACGAACAAAAAACGAGAAGTGCTTTTTTTCTTGAAAAAAAGTAACTTTTGAAAGAAAAAAAAAAGCTCATCCAAACGTGCTAGATTCTATCTGTTTGTGTTTTTGTATTACATGAATGGATAATTGATTTAGAATACTTATATTTAATTATAAAATTCTCTAAAAGTTATATATGTATATAAATTTAAATATTAGAAGTATTAACAAAATTATAAGATTAAGTGTAAAATGTGCGAACATGATTTCTATTTGATTGCTAGATGGCATAAGCATTTCATGTCTTCCAAGATGCCAATTGTTGGATCAAAATCCACTGTTTTTTTATGTATGATTTATTAACTTTATTTTGTAGTTTTTTTTTTTTATCTTGTACGTGTTCACAAACATGAGATGATCCCCAGCCTTTAATACCCATTATCACTTTATTTCATTTTTAATAAATTCTTCACAAGTTTTTTTAATGATCAAGTTAATATTTGATTTTCCATTATTTATTTGAAAAAAAGTAATACAATAGTTAAACTAAAATCTTATTCACATTTCACCAAAAAAAAAATCTTATTCACAAAAAATAATGACCGCTAATTTAATTTTTCTTATGATTTTGTGCTAAAATCATATAGAATTTTTTTTTCCATTTTCTATCATTTCCGTACGAAACAGTAACCAATTAATTTTTTTTTCTGCTCAATATTTAAACGAAAAAAAGTTTCATTTTACAAATGAGCTTTAAGTGACATTAAACCCTGACTTATCAGAGTCAACTTAAACAGTTGAAACTCTGCAAATATTCAAAACTCACCTGAAAGAAATAATATATATATATATATATATATATATATATATATATAAGCAAACATTGGATATTATTATTAATATTTTAATTAATACATCTACATTAATTTTTCGTGATTATTTAAATAATTAACTTGTTAGAAGTCAGCTAATTCTATAAGAACTGGAAATCAAATAATCAGACCAAATTAAACTTCCACAAGTGGAAATTGCAGCAGCACCAATTAAGGAAAAAAAAAATCCACCAATAGTAAATATCCACCAAAAATATAAAATAATTCTTTATATTCCACTGCATTATAAAGTTGCAAATCCATTATTATAAATAAATAAAGACATCATATCTGAACAAAAAATATTAGATATATGGGTTCTTCCGTTCATATCATCCTCACTTATTCCACTTTTAATCAATATGAAAATTCACTACGTACTCATATTTGGATTCTCAACCAATCGTAATAAATAAGATAATTAAATTAAAAATTATTATATACATAAGGACTAAACTAAAAAAAAATCATTGAAAATAAGTAGGGGGGTTAGCTTATATATACGTATATCGGTTCCTTTTTTCTTATGTTGCTATAAATAATTTCTTTTGCAGCAATCGATTAAAATTATGTATTTTTGAGAATAATAATTATAACCCTAAAGTTGTTTTTTCTTTTTTTCTCTTCATAAATTATCTGCCGACATGAAAAAAGAGAATAGATAATTATAATTGATTGATGCAAAAATATAAGAAATATATTTCCCTACATATATATATATATACCTGAGGAAGCATCCGTCGTAGATGACTCTTGCTCCATTGGCAGCAGAGCAATTGCGGATTTGGGTAGTGGCGTTGGTGAAGCAACCAAGACAATCATTTTTGGAGAGGTAATTTCTGCATTGAAACATAGCATAAACAAGCATATCTCCCCTTGCTTCTTGTGCTGTTGCAAAGTGCTTGCTTTGATTGCTAATCTGTCCTCTAATTTCTGAAAACGTTTCATTCAGACTCACATAGAAGCTTCTCAAGCTTGATGCGTTGTATGTGCTGCACCCAGTGTTTACTAAACGTGTTTGTGGGTCAGCAACTGCACCATGATTACTAGTACTCCACCATGTCCACCACCATACAAAGGCTAGGACTAGTAACTTAAGTTGTTGCACCATTCTTTTAGCTTTTGTCCTAGATAGTGTATTAAATTGAGGAACATGGACTTAGCTTATAGTTATGATGCGTATATATATATATTGTCACTGAGAGGAACGAAAATGGAAGAGTCCAAGAGATAGGACAGTGTTTTTTATTTTATAGAGTACTTAATATAATAGAGGGTTTGAATTTTCATGGAGAATTTATGATGACGTGGACGTGGTATGGTGGAGCAAAAATGACTTTGAGAAACGTAGTCAACACGTACAAATTGCTAAGAAAAATTTGGCGTTTACTTTTCACATTGTGTAGAATTACCCACCTATCTCATAATGACATTGACAATTTATTATAAACAGTTTATTCCACTTCCAAACTCCACGATGGTGTATCTAAGATATTTGTACTTTAAGAAAAAAAATACACATTGTGATAAATAATAATATTTACATGAACTTGTCTCTAAAGTATGTAAATAAAAATATATTTATCCTTAAATGCTAATGGACTAGAATCATGATGCATTTTAATTTAAATTAATAGTAAGTTCTCTTTACACAAATCAAGTGATAAAAAAGTTGAAAGACACTACAATGAATAAGGTATGCAAGTCTATAATTTATTATTGGTGTGTGCAAATTTTTTTGGTGTGTGCGCGCGTAAAATTTGTTGTTTGCGTGAGTGAACAAGTCTATAATTTATTTTTTATTACGTGAGTGGACAAGTCTATAATTTTTTTTTATTATGTGAGCTAATTGATCCTTTTGCCCTTATTTTTTTTAAATTGCTATTTTTTCCATCTTCGAAATTTATATATCAATTTGTCCTTACTTGATCGCATTGACTGATATTTACTCGAGTAACTTCACCAGTTACTCAAGTAAAATGACTTGCTCGAATAACCAAGGCCAATTACTCGAGTAAAATAAAGGAAATGTGCAACTCAAAAACTCAAATTTGGATCCATAAATAATTTTTATTCAAATCAAGATCTAATATCTTGTACATGTATTCAAAGCAATTGAATACAGTCTCCATTGAATTCTTTAAACCCTAAAATAATATAAGTTTCGAAAGGGCATAACTTTTGGATCGATTGTTCGAATTGGTTTTTTTTTATTTCGTGTAAATTTTTGAGATCTATGCGATAACAAATACCATGAAGGGATTTGGTAAAAAAAAATGCATCTTTCATGAGTTTTGGGAATGACAAAGTAAATGAGCATAAATATTTAGTATAGGGTATGAAGTGTTTGAATGGAAATTGTCTTCAATTATTTTGAACCCTTGAATTGAATGAGGATTGCTTTCAATTGTAAAGGACCCACAAACATACATCCCAAGTCCATTTATATTTATACAAAACATTAGAAATTGGTTTGAATTAAAAATATTCATGGATCCAAATTTGAGTTACCCACTTATTTGAATTATTCGATTAACTGACCTAGTTACTCATGTAACTCATGGTCAACGTGGTGAAATAAGAACATACAGCTACATAGTTTTAATAAAAGGTTAAAATTAATACATAGTTTTAAAAGGGGCAAAGTGGTTAGTTTTTTTTAAATATAGGGACAAAATAATCAATCACCCTATTATGTGTCGGTGATAGTGTTGGGAACTCGGTTCCCTCAAGTTCGGCTAAGCAGCCTTTTCGCGGAAGTCAGTTAGCAAGATTCTGGATCTCGGATCTCGATAATATTACCTCGGCCTGAACTTTCCCAGGTCGGGCAGCGCAGCGGAAAAACAAAAACAAACACAAATAGGAGAGAGAGAGAGAGAGAGAAGGAGAACACAAACAGTTTTAACGTGGGAAAACTTTCTCCAATGAAGAAGTAAAAACCCAAAGGACCTGTCTAGATCAAACGTCCACTATGAAAATAATGGATACAAAGAATCAAAATTCACCTAAGTGGTGGTTAACTCAACCTCTCCAACAATGGTGATAATCAAACTACTCTAAAGATGTTTCACTCAAACTCTCTCTAGAGATCTCTCAAATACAAAGCTTAAAGCTTTGCTCACAAATTTCTCAAATAATTTTTCTCTCAAATCTTTTCTCTGACCTAGCCTCCACCCACAACTAATGAATATATAGAGGAGGTGGAATCTAGGGTTTAAGTTTTAGGGTTTTTATGAAACCCCTCAATGGGCTTGAGCTTAGCATTGAAGGAGGAAGCCCAACAAATCTCCCCCTCTCCTACTTCAATGCATCAGCTTCAACATCAACCCGGCTCCTTCACAGCAGTCTTCAAATTTCCTAGTCGGAACCGGCTTTGTCATCATATCGGACCAATTTTGGTCAGTGTTCACTTTGACGAGTTCGAGCTCTCCACCTTCCACCACATCCCGGATCCAGTGATACCTCACATCAATGTGCTTAGTGCGGGAGTGATAGGTCGAATTCTTTGCAAGATGGATTGCGCTTTGATTGTCACAACCCAGCTCGTACTTGTCTTAATCATGGTCGAGTTCCATGAGGAACTTCTTCATCCATAGCATCTCTTTGCTTGCCTCAGTAGTAACAATGTACTCAGCCTCAGTTATCGATAGTGCAACACACTTCTGAAGTCTTGATTGCCAAGAGATAGCTCATCCGGCAAATCTCATCATGTATCCCGTCGTCGACTTCCTCGAGTCGAAATCTCGCCCTAAATCAGAATCCGAGTAGCCTTGCAACTCGGTTTCGCCTTCTCCAAATCGGAGACATAAGTTGGTCGTACCTCGGAGGTACTTGAAAATTCACTTCACTGCTTCCCAGTGCTCTTTGCCGGGGTTTGACAAATATCGGCTTACCATTCCAACAGCATACATCAAGTCGGGTCTAGTGCAAACCATTGCGTACATCAAGCTTCCGACGGCGGATTGGTACGGGAACTTCAGCATCTAGTCTTTGTCTTTATCAGATCTCGGACATTACTTCTGGTTCAGCTTTATGTGTCCGGCTAGACGGTGCTCACTGTTTTGGCTTTGTCCATGCTAAATCTCTTCAAAAACTTCTCAATATACTTCTCTTGACTTAGCCACAGTAGCTTCTTTTGTCTATCACGGATAATCTTGATTCCGAGAATCTGCTTTGCAGGGAAGAGGTCCTTCATTGCGAAGGACGAGCTCAACGCTTTTTTCAGAGCGGCTATCCTCAATTTGTCTTTCCCTACAATAAGCATGTCGTCAACATATAACAACAAAATCAAAAAATCTCCGGCCTCATACCTCTTCACAAATACACAGTGGTCGACATTTGTCTTCTCAAACTTGTGATCAGTCATAAATGAATCAAACTTTTTATACCACTGTCGAGGTGCTTGCTTCAAGTCATAGAGGCTCTTCTTCAACCGACATACCAAGTCTTCTTGGTCTGGAGCTCGGAACCCCTCAGGTTGCTCCATATATATATATATATATATATATATATATATATATATATATATATATATATCTCTTCTTCGAAATCAAATGTCGTATTCACGTCCATTTGTTCTACCTCGAGGACCATCGAAGCCGCCATAGCTAACACGGTTCGGACCGAGGTCATTTTCACCACAGGAGAAAAAATCTTCTCAAAATCTACTCCTTTCTTCTGATTGCAGCATTTCACTACAATCCGGGCTTTGTATCTCGGCTTTTGTCCGTTCTCTTCATTCTTAATCTTGTGGACCCATTTATTTTTCAAAGCTCGTCTTCCTTCAGGAAACTCGGTCAGCTCATAAGTCTAATTCTCATGCAGAGACTTCTTCTCGTCTTGCATTGCCTTTTCCCGTTCTTCTTTCTCTAAGCTCGTCACAACCTCATCATAACTCTGAGGCTCACCGTCTTCAGCAACTACGATGTATTCATCATATGAGTATCTTGTAGAAGGTCTTCTTTCTTGAATTGGATATCTCGGCTGTTCTTCAGCTTGAGAACCTAGTTCATCATTCTCATCCTGAATCTCATCATCAACTCGGACCTCATCATCAGCTTGTTGTTGGTCATCAAATTCTTCATTCTCTTGATTTTTTCCCCCTGCTTCAGATTGGACAAGAGGAACGAGTTCTTCACGTCTAACAGTAACCCGGACTTTGGGTTTCGAGATGTCATGAATAGTTTCGTTCTGATGAAAGATCACATCTCGACTTCTCACTACCTTCTTATTGATTGGATCCCAAAGTCGAAACCCGAACTCACATCTCGGCGAACCAAGATAAATGAATTCTTTAGTCTTCGCATCAAGTTTTGCCCTTTCATCTTTAGGGATATGCACGAAAGCTCGGCATCCAATCACCTTCAGTTGATTATAGGCCACTTTTTGACCTGTCCAGACTTCTTCTGGAATTTCTCTTTCAAGTGGCCGTGATGATGAGAGGTTGATCAAGTCAACAACAGTTCTGATGGCCTCTCCCCAGAATGATTTCGGCAATCCGGCATTGGATAGCATACTTCGGATCTTCTCTTCAATAGTCCGGTTCATCCTCTCGGCAAGTCCATTCCACTGTGGAGTCTTGGGGAGCGTCTTCTCAAGTCGGATTCTGGCCGCTCTACAATATGCATCAAAAGGGCCGCAATACTCACAACCTTTGTCAGATCGGACCACCTTCAATTTCTTGCCAGTCTCTCTTTCAACCATAGCATGAAACTCTTTAAAAGATTGGAGTACCTGATTTTTAGACTTCAACAAATAAACCCATACTTTGCGGGAGTGGTCATCAATGAATGAAACAAAGTACTGAGCTCCTCCAAGAGATCTCTCCGACATGGAGAAAACATCAGTATGGACGAGGTCAATAATATACCTGTGTCGTCTAGGTTGATCCGGTCTCACAAAAGAAACCCGGTGCTTCTTTCCAGCTAGGCAGTGCATGCAACTCTCCAACGCTTGACTTTTCAACCCAGTCAGTAATCCTTTATTGTTCAGAATTTGGAGCCCTTTCATGCTCATGTGGCCGAGGCGCTTGTGTCATAGCTCCAAGATAGATCCATCTCGGACAGAATTGGCTTCTCCGCCATTGATCTTTCCTTGCATCACGTACAAGGAGCCTTCCTTCTTACCTCGGGCAACAACCAAGTTTTCCTTGGCCAGTTTCCATCTAAGACTACCGAAGTAGTTCACTAACCCGACATCGTCAAGTTTGCTTACCGAGATTAAGTTCACTCCCGGGAGAACACTAATCACATTATCTTCTCCCGGGAGAACATAGTGCAATTTGCATAAATTTGTAAAAAAAGTTTTTAAAGGGGTCCCTCCCCAATATTATTTTAGGTAAATTATGATATTTTGTTTAAAATATACAAACCACGCTGATTTCCCAAAAATTTGCGTAAAAAATAACATTTGAATATTACATTTCAAATCATTGAATAGATTTTTCTTAATAGGTAATGAATTTCTTCAAAAATGGGCACATATAAAAACAAACATCTGAATCTTAAATTCCAAACCATTGAATATTATTTTTTTAATAGTCAAAATAAAAACCTCAGCTATATCAACAAGTAGCAACTGATTCTCACAACTAGATATTAGCATGCATGAATAATACTTTAAAGTTTTATTAAGATTCCAAAAAAGCACTAAAAGTAGAAGGAAGAGCTCAACTTATGAGAGATGAAGAAGAAATGAAAAGCTTATAGAAATAATATAAAATAAAAAAAATAATGTGAGAGGGGCTAACCATAAGAGTACCAGATTGGATACCTGCGTATGGCCACAAGGAATGAGTGGTCAATTCTTCAGTGGAATATGATAAATGTTGAGATTTATAAACTCCACGTTAGTTGTAAAGAACTTTGAGATACATCACCCCAAAAGCTAGCTCAAAGGGTGGGAGTGCCTAAGGCCTTATAAACTCTATATTAGTTACACATCTAACCAATGTGGGACTATATATCTCAACACGCCCCCTCACGCAAGAGCCCTACCACCCCAAAAGCTAGCTCAAAGGGTGGGAGTGCCCAAGGTCTTATAAACTCCATATTAGTTGCACATCTAACCAATGTTGGACTATATATCTCAACACGCCCCCTCACGCAAGAGCCCTTTGGACTAGAAGCGTGGAATTGCACAGGCCCAAATTTTGGTTTACCTTTTGTGCTTTTTTTATATTTTAATTTCACTTTAAAGTGGAAGGCGGTGAGGGCTCAAGCTCTGATACCATATAAAGACTCTTGGATACACCACTCCAAAAACTAGCTTAAAGGATGAGAGTACCCAAGGTCTTATAAATTCCACATTAGTTACACATCTAACCAATATGAAACTATATATCTCAACAAATAAATGTCTATCAAACTCTTTATATGCAAGGATTTAGGTCGTATAAAAATTGAATTTGTATTCAAATGTCTGATCAGATAATTAGTTGAACAGTCTAAGCCTCACATCATCCAATGAAGCAAAAGCTGCCTCGTGGATGATCTCTATCTTTAACTTTGTAATCTTCCTATAGTGAAGGGCACATGTCAATGTCATACCTAATTTTTTTTTTTTTTTGGTTATGTCATCATCATCAAATTCGTGGACCATCAGAAGATTCTATAGAAAAAAGTTTCTGCAGTTCATTAAATAACTAATGGAGTAGTCCTTCATTCATTATCAAGATATCAACAAATAATCCTTAGGATGTGTTTGGTTGAGGTTTTCTTTTGGAATATATGGGAAAGTGTGGGTGGATATCCCAAAGTACCATATTTGGTATAAGTTTATAAAAAAAAAGTCTAAGAAAGAATTTTGCATAAGAAACCAAATACTAGTTGATTTTGTGCTCAAACTTACTGTTTAAAAATCTCATTTAAGGTGTGGTATTTGGGAAAACTGGGGAAATAAAAAACTGAACGTGAAAATTGTGACCAAAGTGACCTTGCATGTGTGTAAACTGAGTGACCCATTCTCATCTACAGATCTGGAGATATGGTTGCCCACCGCCAGAAGCTTGGGGTTGTGGCGGGGGAGGACGGTGGTGGAAGTTGCGAAAATACAGAAGATAAAAAAAACCAGGTTGTAAGGAGACACCTATCACGTAATCATGAATTTGTTTATGTCAGTGTATTCCGCAAGAGAGTAGATTTCATCTTCATTATCCAATTGATTCATCAATACTTCTCGTTTTCCACCATTTTTGGTGGTTAAGAAAATCTTTCTCTGAGAAAGGGTTTCACAGAGATAAAGACAGAAGTATGGTTGTGGAACATTGGCTTGTTGGAGGAGAGATGTCATAGCAAGCTATTGAGATTCAAAAAGTAAAAAAGGTTACTTTCGTAATTTTATATCACTTTCCTATCAATACTCGATAATATTTCGTCCAATCAAATAACTTTTTTTCAATTTTATCAGCAAACTTACTTTCTCACAATTTCCCTAATAATTATATTTATCTAGTAAAAAAAAAAAATTCCTCTACCAAATACCTCCTTAATTCAATTAAATACACACCACCACCCAATCACCATTTGGTATGTACATCCAATTTGTAGCTATGATTTATATGTAACTATACAAAATCCTGAATATGCATGGACTGAATAAGAACACTCTTTTGTATCATATAATTAATCATCTAGCTGATGCCATAGAAGTGGAGGCAGTAGCATTAGATGTAGAGGAACCAGTTGTGGCAGAAATATCTTCTCTCCTGGACCTTAAATTCGAATTCACAAATACAGGCATTGAAGGTCTCATATGTTCAAGTAAGCTCTTGCTTTTGAGAAGCACTACTACTTCAGACAATGTTGGCCTTGCAGCTGCTGATGCTTGAGTGCAAAGCAAAGCAATCTCTGTGATATTCTTCACTTCTTCTACATTATAGTCATTAGGGTCTAATCTTTCGTCCACCAACTCCATGTGCCTGCCTTTCTCATACATTTTCCATGCCTGTTAAAGTGAATACCAAAATTTATATGGTAAAATGTTATTAAGAAAATAAATAATCTTTAGTATATAGTTATAAAGGAAATTGCTTACTATTTGAAGAAGGTATTCATGACCACCATCATCAACCTTCACTTCAGTACTCTTTTGACCACTTATGATTTCTAGGACTACAATACCATAGCTGTAGGTATCAGCCTTTTCTGATAATTGACCATGGATTGCATACTCAGGTGCTGTGTATCCCCTGAAATGTGCATCATATTTATGCCAAATAAAGTTAAGAAATGTAAATTTATGCATAACGTGGGGTGGTACATTTTACCCTCGAAAGTTTTCAAGCTGAGTCATTGAGTTTCTTTTGACTTACAATGTTCCTGCAAATCTTGTGTTAAGATGAGATTGATCCCCTGGTAGAAGCCTTGCCAACCCAAAATCAGAAATTTTGGGCTGAAGTTCATCATCCAAGAGAATATTGTCACTCTTTATATCTCTATGTATGATAGAAACATGAAATTCCTCATGTAGATAGGCAAGTCCCCTTGCTATTCCTAAAATTATATCATAGCGTTGTTTCCACTTGAGGGAACCCTTTTTGTCACCTGTGTTCCAAGTTTATATATTAAAGACAGGGAATGTTATATTTACAAACTTTTTGTTTACAAATTCTTACAAACTACACTATGTCTGACCGATTATACACTAATCAATACTGTATGACGGGTCATACTTAGTGTAATTTGTAAAAAGAATTTGTAATCAGCTCATTCCCCGTTAAAGACTTTAGAGGAGAAAAGAGGTGGGAAAAGTGTACACAAAATGCTTCTATTGAAGATTGACACGAGTTACCAAATAAGAATCTGTCAAGGCTGCTGTTTGACATGTATTCATAAACAAGGATTCTCTCTTGGCCTTTAATGCAACAACCAAGAAGCCGAACCACATTTATATGATGAACATTGCTTATAAGCTTTACTTCACTTTCAAAATCATCCTCCATGGATTTGCCTAAAAGTAATTTTTTGACTGCAACAACTTTCCCATTTTTCAACGTACCCTGTTCAATAGTATCATGATTAAAAATTCTGTATGAAAGAGATTTATCCTTGGAAGTATATGGCTTATAAAAATTAATATAACTTTTTTAGCTTATGGAGATCTTAGTTAAAAACTTTCTTTTTTAAATAAAAAAGAAAATGTCTTGGCATCACGCATGTTTTTGAACATGATCTCAATTGAAATTTGAGAAACAACTTAAATTTACCTTATATACGTCGCCAAAGCCTCCTTCTCCTAGTTTATTTTGGTCGCTGAAATTTTTGGTTGCAGCTTTCAAATCATTATACTTGTAGTTGACTGGACCTTTCAACTCAGTTGCTCCCAATATGTTACCTGCTAAGTAGAACTTGAGTTTGATTTTTCTTAATAAATAAATGAAGTTAGGGAATCATCTATATCTAAGGAAACTCAACTTGTTAAAACTCTAAATCATTTAGTTATAAAGACTTGATACCATATCAAGCAATCAATCATCTCAAAATTCTAAGCTGTTATACGAAGGAATAAGAATGTTTTATGTTTTATATTGTGTTTCTAACATTTATATAGTTTAAACTTTCCCAAACACATGCTCTTAAATCTTTCCAAGTGACAAAGAATTAGACATGTAATCTGAAGGTTTAATAAGTCTCAGGCACATGAAATAGAATTACCCTGCATAAATAGCTTCAATCATGAAGAATAAGAATTGAGAAATGAACAAGCATCACATCTAAAGAATTTCCAAATTGTCTTACCTCTAGGAACTCTCTTGGGTTTTTTGGATATTCTAAGCCAGGCAAACACTGCAAGGAGGATCACAACAAGGACTGCACCTCCAACACCACCACCAATAATGCCCCACTTCTTGCTTGAACCTCCTTGAAGACAGAAAAAAGGTGTATATGTCGTCAGTTCCTAATGATGTGTTCCATTCAAGATATCAATATTCAATAACAGGCACACGCATCTAATTAACCATTTTTATTTATGTATTTAGTTTGATTCATCCAATATTTTTAAAATAGATTGCATTTCTTACCTTGTTTTAAGAAGGGACTTATATCAATGGTCTGGTTATCAGCAAAGAAGGGTGTCTCAGAGTATCTCATAAAACAGCCAGCATCATATGCTCTACCATCAGTATTGGGAAGACAACTCTGTATGTTGTTGTATCCAACTTTCAAGCAATCAAGACAACCACTCTCAGTGATAGTTTCAACACATTGTGCAATGGCATAAATTGCACCACCAGAAACCAGTGTCTTAGTAGCTGCAAAAAAACCTTGAATTCTGGGTGTTGCTATTTGAAGGTTCATTAGCACTTGTTGTCCAGCTGCACTAAAAGCAGTTCTCTCATTTGCAGTTTGATTCCCACATAATGCACCATTTCCTGGTTCAGTGGTCTGATCAAAGAACCCGCCACTCTCATACCTTAACACTCAAGACAGTTAAAAATATCCAACATTAAAGTCCATTCTAACTCAGCTTCACAACATGGGATAGAAATATTGTGACAATGTAGTATTTTACATTCTATTTTTTCTGTGTTAATGAGTACATAAGTGGTAGCATTAGTGTATATGTCACTCTTTGCTTGTGGAAGAATTTTGTTACTTAAACACTACAAGAAAACATACAAAGAGAAGCAGCATATATAAGAAATGGATGCACAATTGGTTCCTCCAAGCCAGTGCAATTTGGCCTCCTGTGAGGATTAGTGATTATTGCGATTTTGGTAATTACTAATTTAGATACGGGTAAGGTAATTAGTAGCTAGATCTTCTTATCTTGAAAAAATAGTTTGCTTGTTCCTAATTATAGGATCATATTATAACAAATCAATCTAAATTGGTAACACTAAAGATCTTAACAAAAGCATCATTAATAGATACTAGCCGATTGACAAGCGTAAACGTGCCAATCAATCTGTATAGTTAATTTTTTATTCAAATAATTATGAATATTAAATATTTTTTTAATAAATAAAAAATTAAATATTTGAATATTTTAAAAATAAAAAGTGAAAAAGAAAAGAAAATAACTGAGAAAGGAGAAAGGAAGTTTTAATTACGTGAATGGAATAAATATTTTAGTGATAAATTATAAATATAAAACAATATAAATTCCCGTTGATTTTATCATCGTTAAACACATTACCTTCGGTTAAGTTGAAACAAATGTATGTGAATTAAAAAAATCATGATTACCAAAAAAAATAAAAATCATAATAATAATCAGTGTGAACAAAGCTTGGAAACATATTTTGTTATGCAAATGTGCAAGAGAGAAAGACAAAAACAAATAAAATTGTAAGAAATGACAAATGCTGTAATGCAGTATAATAAGTTCACACCAAATATCTCAATAGAGAGAAACAAAAGCAAATAGAAATGCAAGAAATGACAAATGTTAATGTGATTTTGCTATGTTGCTGTATCAAAGTAATAGACATATATATTATCACCAATAGTCTGGCTTTCTATAGACCAATGTAAAAATGCTAAAATACATATTTTATCACACACACGTACAAGAGAGAAAAACAAAAGCTAATAGAATATACACAAGAAATTGACAAATGTTATAATGTAATATTACAAGTTTATACCAAATTTAAGTGCAAGAAAGAAAGACAAAAGCAAATAAAATTGCAACAAATGACACATGTCAATGTCATATTACTATTTTGTTGTGTCTAAATAATAACACACGCTATCACCTATGATATATATATATATATATATATATATATATATATATATATATATATATATATATATATATATATATAAACTCAAAGTTTACAAATTCTTATAATTACACTATGTACTATGGGTAATATATATTACTTAAGCATGTAGTCAGAATAATAAATCAATTTATACCGTTGTAAGAATAATAAATCTTACACTCAATTTCATTGATTTCGGTTCATCAAAAGACTATGATTAATTGGATAATTATCATAAATTAATTATTAATCTCCAATAAATTATAACCGTTAGATATTGAAAATCAAAGGTTAAGATTGAGTGTAAAATTTATTATTCTTATACCAGTATAAAAAAAAATTGTCTTACAGAGGGATAGGATCAACTTACACTTGTATAAGAATAACTAGTCTTACTCCATTATAAGAATAACAACTTCTATCCAACTTTACTCAATAATATCCGTGCATCTAATGATGATAATTACAATCCTCAATTATACAAAAATTAATGACATGTAAGACTTAAGAGGGTGTATTGGATTAGGATTTCAAAGGATTATATGGATTATTTTTTGGCAAAAAAATCCATTGGTATTCAATTAGGGTTTGAAAGGATTGAAAAAGATTCATGTAGTATTCGATTAGGATTTTAAAATATTATTTTAGAATTCATCCAAATCTGTTGGTATTCAATCAGGATTTCAAATAAAAGGAAAAATAATCTTGTGGTATTAAAAAATTTAACGATTTTAATGGATTTTCCAATGTTGTAAAAACTAGATCAGACCCGTCGGGTCGACCTGAAATCCGGTGAACCGATCATCTAACCGGTTAGGTTATCACATTGGATCGGCCAGGTACCAGACCTACAATGGCGGACTGACATTGTTGCATGTGTCTGCACATGCTGTAACACTCCGTTCTAGAACTGGTTTGTTAACATCGCATTATAATATTAAGCGCAGTTACAATCACGTTGGTTCAATTAGAAATTCAGATAAATTTTTCTTTTTGGAAAAAGCCGAATTTAAAATGCCCAACTATGTGATCATAACCATATTACGTTACGGAACAAAATAAATTAAGCTTAACATCATATTATCATTTGGTTCGAGTTCACTACAAAACTCTCTTCACCTTTTCTTAAATTGGAATTCCTTTACTTACTATATATTTCTCATCTCACACTAGGTTATAGATCTCTTTGTTAGCTACGCGTGGATTCAAACCGCACCCAATTTGGAGCTCCGTAGCTCAAGTTATGCCAATTTTACTAAATCATGCGGTGTGGTTCGAGGACGAACCAGGCAGAAGCTGGTGGGCATGTAACATCCCGAGCGCTGACGAGGGCGGGGAGTGATCGCCGGTGCAAAGAGGCACGGACAAGGAGCGGCTCTTGACAGGCTTCCAGCGGGGGGTTACATGCACGAATGAATCAAATCGACACCCGAAAGAGAGGGATTCCAAAGACTGTGCAGGTATGAGACTGCACAGTTTGGGATAGCTTATAAGAATTAATTGGTACTACCTATACTAACAAGATGCATCTTCTTTTCGGTAGCCCAGAACGGAAGAACTCCATAGTTAAGCGTGCTGGACTTGGAGCAATTCTGAGATGGATGACCTCCTGGGAAGTTTTCCCAGAAAGTGTGCGAGTGAGGAAAAAGCACACTGAAAAGTCTCGTGTTAGTATGTGGGGATATTCATTGATTCTTGAAGCGGTCAGGCGTTACACATGCAGACACAAAGATTTTTTTTTTCCAAAAAGGTGAGTAATTTAGGTCAAGTAAAAAAAAATAAAAAAAATAAAGAAGATTGAAAAGAAAAAAGTAAACATAAACCTAACCATGGTAGTTAAATTTAGGTAACTTTCTATATTTATTTTATTTGTTATTGTAACACCTTAGTTGACTCTTGATTATTATTATTTTTTATGATAAGTTAAAGTTTTCTTTTCTTTTCTTGTTTATATTTTTTTTAATACATTTAAAATTTTCTTTAAAAAAAATCTTCGGGGGCACTACCCCCGAACACCCACCTTAAGTGTGCACACATAAAAAAAATCTCTGGGTCCGCCACTGCAGACCTAGTCTGACCCGACCGATTTTGGTGAAAATCGGTGACCCATAGGTTAACCGGTGACCCGGCTTGGGATTTTATTTAAAAAAATTCAAAAAAAAAATTCAAAAAAAAATCATGAATGACATGTTTGAGCGATCTGTTACTTATTGACTTACATAAGTTATGTACCTATAATACTAATATAATCTCAGTTATGCACTATGCAGAGAATTTTAATTTGATTTATAGTTAGAGATATCGTTTACTGAACTTGAAACACCAATATCACAAGCATTAAATGTTTATTTGATCCTTTATTAAACAATAATGTATAATTTATATTAAAATATTAAAATATTTACAATTTATGTTAATTTTTTAGCGATTTGAGTATGTTTATAATTTTTTAATATAAATTATAAATTTACATATAATCACCGAGTTATGCGGTTCAATCAGTGACCCACTCATTGAACCAGTGATCTAGTGACCCGGTACCTCGATCGGGTCAATGACCAGGCTGGTTTTAATAACATTGGATTTTCTATTGGTATGGATTTTGTGAGACTTTTTAGTGAGAATATAAATAGGATGCTTCTCTCACAATCTCACCCTAACTCCTAGGATTTCTTGAGATTTCTCTATTGCAGTGTCTTCTTTTTCCTTTAGCGGGTCGATCTGCTCGAAACCGGATTTCGCCATGAGATCTTCTTCAAAGCTAAGAAAATAGCAGATTTTTTAGCAAATTTCATCACAAAACAACTCAAAGAAACAACAACCCAACAAGATTTCAATCTAATCCATCTCAAAAACAGCAGATTTTTGAGTAATTTTTAAGAGTTTTGGAAGTTTAAAAAATAATTTTTCAAGTTATTGGTTGCGATTTTTCTTAGTACAAAAATGTGTAATTTTTTATTAACAATAAAGGAACAAAAATTCTCAAACCAATTTTCGTTTTACATCAATGAAACAAAATCAATTTAAAGAAATATTGAAACTTTCATAATATGAACCCTATGTTTAATATTAATACATTCATGAACAAAATTCCTCCGCTATAGGAAACGATTTCAAATAATTTTTGTGTCAACAGATCACTAAAAACTTGTTTTTCAAAAGCTGCAAAGAAATTTAAGGTTTCAGTGTTTCGATTGAAAATAATTTGAGAAATTTTTCTAAACTTTCATGCAATAAAACACAGAAATTCAAATTCAAATTTTTTTTGGATTACTCGATGAAAACATGCATATAATATATGGTTAGAAAACTCTCATCACGTAGAACAAAAACCCCAAGATTTACAAGATCAATTACAAAAAATTCCAAACAGAATTTGATCATGGATTTTATTAATTAAGAAAATTATATTAGGTTTTAATTTTTTTTTATTAATATCATTGCATTTCTTTGTTATTTTTTATTGACTCTTGTAATTCTGAATGTTTGTTAAAAATTCATATAATTTTTAAAATTTTATAAATTCATATTGTCCTTTCAAATCATATAAATCCTATTAAAATACAATCTTTATGAAATCTTGATTGTAAAAAATATATTTTAAAAAAATCTTTAAAGTCCCTCCAATTCTAAATAATCTTTTAAAATCTATAAGATTTTTTATCTTGAAAAAGTCTTTTAAAATTCTAATTTAATACATCCCCATATTGTTTTTGTATCGATAATCTCCATTCCGCCCCCATCTATCTATATATATATATATATATATATATATATATATATATATATATATATATATATATATATATATTACTTTTGACTTATTTCCCAAGAAGTATTCTAGAAGGAAATAATGAATTGAGTAGAATGACCCTGGTAAGTGGTTACTAAGAAAAATCAAACAAATCCAAAGTTGACAAAATTAAGTAGAATTGAATGGAATAGTAGTGTGTGTGTGTATGTATGCATGTGTCTGTATGTAACCTGAGGAAGCAGCCATCATAGATGACACGAGCACCATTGGCGCCGGCGGCGGAGCAGTGGCGGATTTGGGCAGAGGCGGTGGTGAAGCATGCAAGACAGTCAGCCATGGAGAGGTAATTCCTGCATTGAAACATAGCATATACAAGGACATCTCCCTTGACTTGCTTTGTTGTTGCAAAGTGGTTGCTTTCATTGCTAACTTGTGATCTCAGCTCTGAAAACGTTGCGTTGATATTGGCAAAGAAATTGGGCAAGTTGGTTGTGTTGTATGTGCTACAACCATTGTTGAGTAATAGAGTTTGTGGGTCTGCAACTGTACCATGATGATCAATGTTACACCATGACCAGCACCATATCAAGGTTAAGACCAAGAACTTAAGTTGTAGCATCTTTTATGGCTTTAGAAATTAAGTTGTAGTCTATAACCTTTGGAATATAAGGAGAAGGGTATATGATATTGACGTGAAAAATAGTTAATTTAGTGTTGATAACGTGCATGATGTATCAATTACCAACCAAGACAGCAAGAATTGATCAGAAGAGGGAGGAGATTCAACTGGGGCTGCTAAAATAAATTATACATTTTCTGCGATTCGTTTAATCAAGTCAATAATACACATTCCCCTCACGTTTGAAAATTGAGAAATGAGAGATGATTTGTGATTGCATAACCTTTTTGACCTGCATTTTAAAAAATACCATCCTTTTCATTAATTATTTTTCTCCTTTTTGTCTTATTAGAGATCAAGTTAAGGATGAGGATTAACTCCATTATATAATATATATTTTTGGTAAGTCCATCATATAATATCTTGATTATATGATAATCTTGTTCAGAATTCATCATATGAACTTTACTTGCAGTCTTCCCTTTTGTTATCACACCTAGGGAAGGTTTTGCTGGAAAATTCTAAGTTGAAAAAAACAAGGATAATATTATATCGAATTTTGGATAATACAAACAAGAGGATACCATATAGAGAAGTTTAATGGGCTCAAAGGAATAAACCGAAAAAACTAAAAGGAAATAAATCCTAAGAAGAAAAGGAAACAAATACAATTATTTACAGCACTCCTCCTCAAGCTGAGGAATATATATTTATCATTCTCAGCTAATAGTAAACTCTTGAAATCTATCTGAGAGAAATCCCTTTATCAAAATATAAGTTAATTGACGCCCAAAACGAATGTATGGAGTGGCGATCAACCCACTATCCAGTTTCTCTTTAATGAAATGGTAGTCGACCTCAATATGCTTAGTCTGATCAGGTTGAATTAGATTATGAGATATACAAATGAAGGACTTATTATCACAAAGTAGCTTCATGGGTCCTTCACATCTTATTTTGAGATCATCAAGTATAATCTTCAACCACAATAATTCACAAATACCTTGAGTCATAGCTCAAAATTCAGCCTTTGCACTTGACCTGACAATCACATCATGTTTCTTACTCCTCCATGTCACTAAGTTACCAAAGAAACATATAATAAACAGTGGTAGATCGACGGTCAGTCACGAATCCAGCATAATCGACATTAGTATAAACTTCTAAAGAGAGATTGTCATTACGCTGGAATAATAGTCCTTTACCAGGAATGGCTTTAAGGTACTGAAGAATTCTTTCCACTGCCTGTATGTGTTTTTCTTTTTTTTGGATTATGCATGAACTGACTCACAATACAAACAACATAAGCTAGGTCTGATATAGTATGAGTCAAATATATTAGTCTCCCAACTAGCCGTTGATATTGTCCTTTATCAACTGAATGACTCTCATCTTCATAACACATCTTGTGATTCTGCACAATAGGAGTACTAGAGGGTTTACTCCTAAGTTTTCTTACTTCTTTAAGAAGATCAAGGATACATTTTCTTTGACTTATAAAAATTCATTCCTTTGAATGAGAACCTCTATCCTTAGGAAATATCTCAATCTTCCAAGTTCTTTAATTTCAAATTCAGAGGCTAGTCATGCTTGTAGAACATGTATCTCCGCAATATTATCTCATGTTATAATAATTTCATCAACATATACAAGGAGCACAAAAAGCTTCCCATCTTGGCAGTGCTTAAAAAAGAGTGTGGTCTCCTTGACTTTGTTTGTCTCCTAAGGTCATCATAACCTTAGTAAACCTCCCAAACCATGTGCGAGGAGACTGCTTTAATCCATACAAGGCCTTCTTTAACTTACAAACTTTATTTTCTCCATCCATAGGGTCAAAATCATGCGGGATTTTCATGTAAACTTCTTCTTCTAACTCACCATTAAGGGAAAGCATATCTTACATTAAATTGGTTTATATCCCAGTTGTAATAGGCAGCAAGGCTCTCACAGTATTCATCTTTACAACTAGGGCAAAAGTTTTTTCATAATCAATGCCATAAGTTTGAGTGTAACTTTTGGCGACTAACCAAACCTTATATCTCTCAAGAGTACCTTCAGAATTATACTTTAAGCATAAACTCATATGCACCCTATTGTTTTCTTTTTATTAGGTCTATCAACAACCTCCCATGTTTTATTTTTCTCCAAGGCATTCGTCTCCTCTTGCATAGCTTGAGCCCAATTCTCATTTTTTAATGCTTCATGTACTGATTTTGGTGTTAAGATAAAATCTAGTGCTGAAACAAAGTTTTTATACTGCACATAAAGGTTAGTAGAAGAGAGAAAATAAGAGATAAGGCGTTGGGTACAAGAGGGACATGATCTTTGGGTACAAGATCTTTTGCCTTTTTCTTAAGGCAATGGGTAAGTCTTATGAGATAATGGGTAAGCTATCAAAAGCAACAAGCAAGACATTAGAGGCAATAATATTATTTTCAAAAACAGAAGATTCAGGACTTACCAGCGGTTCAGACAATTGAGGTTGCTGGTGAGGCAGTATAGGTTGTTTCCTCCTCTGATATACCAATTCAGGTGTCAAAATCTTTCGTAACTCAGGTGTATTTGAAGGTTCTGACACATCAGGATAAGACACAGGAGCAGACACAAGAGCGAGAGGTGTAGGAGTAGACAAGGACGATCCAAACTCAAAGAAGGAAGGGGAAGAGCTTTATGAAGAACTGATCTCCCCATGAAGATAAGGACCCTGGAAAAGGACTCAAATTCAAGAAAGGTGACATCCATAGAAAGAAAATATTTTTGACTTTAAGGATGATAACACTTGTAGTTTTTTTTATCAGAGGTATAACTAATGAAGACACACTTAAGAACTCTAGGATCTAACTTACTGCGATGTTGTTTATAAACATGGACAAAGGCAAGACACCTAAACACTCATGACTGAAGATTCTACATAGTGGGAATAGAAGGAAAGAAGGAAGTCATGGAATGAATAGAAAGGGTACTGTTAAGGACCCGTGAAGGTAAGCAGTTGATCAAAAAAGCTGCAGTTGATCAAAAAAGCTGCAGTTAACAGGGCTTCTCCCCAATAAGAACTAGGAACATATATATAGAAAAGTAATGCTCTAGCAACTTCAAGGAGGTGACGATTTTTTCTTTTACTAATCCAGTTTTGTTGAGGGGTATCAACATTGTAAGCTCGTGAGTCATACCTTTGTCTGAAATGAATTGCAAAAGATGTTTGTTGACGTACTCAGTACCATTATTCAATCTTAATCTTCGAATATTTTTACCAGACTGAATCTCGACCATGTGATAAAATCGGATAAATATCTCTGGTACTTCATACTTGTCTTTCATCAAGAATATCCATGTCACACGAGTACAATCATCAATAAACAAACCACTGTGTACTTGAAATACTATTGTCACATCATGATCCTTTAAGTATGAATTTCCCTCAACGTCTTCAGTGAGTTGCTTGAGAAGAGGTGCGGCATTTTCTATATAATTCTCTTGAGCTAGAATGGATGACTTCTCCTCAGCTTCTTGCTCAACTATTGGCTGGTCCTTGAATGCTTGGTATTCGTCGTAAACCACTCTCTCGATCAACGCAAGAACTTCATCAAAACTCCTAGTGTAAAGTGGTATTCCATCTGCTAGATCTAATTTTATTCTTGAAAGTGGGCACATACCGCTGTACAAAATGCGAACAAATTCTCAATCATCAACCGGGCATTTTCTGCATAATCTCTTAAGTCTACACCAAGCTTGATATAAATGTTATCCTTCCTTTTGTGCGAAGGAGTCGATCTCCTTTTTAGACTTTGTGGCTTTGGATGGTGGAAAATATTTGCTCAGAAATCTGAATTCTATCTCCTATGTGGTGATGCTTCGTCGAGTTGAGACTTCAACCACGTTTTAGCTCGACCTTTTAGAAAGAAGGGAAACATATGGACCTTAACGGAGTCTTCAGTAGCTCCGTCTATCCTTATACCATTGCAGAAATTCAAAAATTTATCTATTAGATCATGAGGTTCCTCTGAATATTCACCCCAAAAAAGTTTTTGCATTTTCAATGTAGAGCAATTCTTCCTCCAAATGTAATGAAATTTCAAATTCAACCATGATACTAATAGTACATCATAGAGAAAAAAAATTAAAAAAAAAACGAAATAAATAAAAAAATAAAAAAATGAGATAACAAAATGTAATATTTAAAAAAATTAAAAATAAAAAAATGTAAAAAATTAAAATTAAAATTAAAAATAAAAAATAAAAAAAATCCAAAATAAAGATCTAAAAGCTACGAACAAAACAAAAAAAATGAAAAAAAAAATAATAATAAAAAAAATGAGATAAAAAAAAGGTAAACAGTAAAAAATATAAAATTAAAATAAAAAATAAAAAAGTCCAATCTTAAAGATCGAAAGTTAGATTTAATATTGGCGTAATTAATCCCCGGCAACGGTGCCAAAAACTTGTTGCAAAATCGGCAAGTATACCGTTCGTTTCAAGTAATAAAGTATCGTTCTCACAAGGATTAACGCACCAATTACTAGTTTAACTATTCCCCCTAAGTTGGAAAATAAAATTAGTTTGAGTTTTGAAGATAATTGATTTTGGAATTTAAAACTAGAATTTAAAAACAATTAAATTTAAAATAGAAAATTAATAACAATTAATTTTGAACATATGCAAGAAAAGATCAAGAACTCGAGAAAATATTGATGAAAAATTTATAAAAAGGATGTAGTCAGGATGCACTTCACCTCCGATCATCCCTTATATTCATATATTGTATTTTATAATCAATTAATTCATTTGTTCAGACAATTCATTGTTTTCCTATAAAATAGTTGAACCATAATATCTTAGTGATTTCAACCCTTTAACCCAATCAGAATTCTAATGTCTTAGTAATCCCTCTTGAATTAAGCATTAAACAAATAAATTATGAGTCTGCAATCTATGTAAGCCTATGTCTAGATCATACACAAATTGTTATTCTACGTTTGTCCAGATTAAAACCCCATTATATC